AAAGAAAGAAAGAAAGAAAGAAAGAAAGAAAGAAAGAAAGAAAGAAAGAAAGAAAGAAAGAACAATTTTAAAGGAATGTATTATCTATTGTAACTGAAAAGCCCAGAGATAAAAGATGGTCTGGGTGTGGCACGATCCAGAAGTTTGTGATGCCATCGGAGTTCATTCATGTGAATTGCTCAGTTCAGCCTTTTGCCAGGGTTTTACCTTCCAATTCACAGCAATTCCTTCGTGGTAGCATCGCTGCTAGCCTTCGCACCCGAATACACACATTCCAGTAGCAAAGGAACATTCCAAGCAACATTTTGGAAATTCACTCTGACTAGGTCAGCTTAGGTTATACATCTGATCCTGAGCCAACAGCTTCCGCTTGCCAGGAGTCCTTCCTCCGCAAGGGCTTGTACACGTGCATAGATATGACCCTCCCAGAAGCCGGAGTCCTGCACATAACAGATCTTCTTCCTTTTTTTCCCCCAGGCCCATCATCCTAGACCCATCTGACCCCACCAACAACCTGGGCAAGGGAAGGAGATGGGACCTGGTGGCCCAAGAGGCTGCTTACTGCCTGCGTCAGGCCTGCTGCTTGACTGTGGACCCCAGTGAGAGGTGGCATGTACAGGTACAACTCTCCTTCCTACAGTCAGGACTCAGTTCTGTCTTCACGATAACCTCACATCAATCCCCCAGCACCCAAAAGCCCTGGGACAGAACTCACCTCCCACTGGGTATGCATTTCTTCCCTTCTGCCACCTATGAAGTGAGCATCAATTTCTGTTCTGCTCTGTAGCCAACTCACAGATAGACCCAAAATGTATTCACGGGGGTTTGGGGGGGTAGTGTTTCCCCTTTCGTGAGCTGTCAAAAGTGCAGCTTCTTGCTAGTTAAGCAAGAAGTACTAATAGGTGGTTCCCAAAAAAATAAAAGAGGGTCACAGAGCCCTCCTGTGGGCAGCAATGCTCGCTCTAGCACACCTCCCTGTAGGCAGGGTTTCCCCACTGTCACAGCTGTTCTCCATCAGCACCTGAAGTAGTAAGCCAGTGTTAAGGACCAGGACCCTCATTTATGATCTCCTTGGGATAAACTGCTTCTCCAACCTACTTCTCCCAGAGAAATCTTGTCACCTGTTCGCACTTTTCATATTCTGCATGGAAGTCTGAGCCTGGCCTCAGAGACAGCCTCACAGCTTCTGAGCTGAGGCAGATAACTGAAGTATCACAGGGCCCCACCACTCAGCAATGTCTCCTTGAGAATATCCAGCACACCTGGGGGCTCCTGGGAGGCAAGAAAACAGAAAAGCAAAGTGGGAGCAGGGCATGGTGGGGCACATCTTTGGGAGACTGAGGCAGGAGGATGGCAAGTTCAAGTGCAGCCTGAGCGAGACCTTGCCTCAAAATAAAAAATTAAAAAAGGGCTGGGGATATAACTCAGTATAGAGGCCCTGGGTTTAATCACAAGTACAAAAACAAAAAAAAAGGAAAATCAAGTTATTGAAAAGCAATGTATAAAGTAAGTCTTCCCTCCTGTCCCTCAGAAATACCACCCCTCTGCGTCCACGTACCCTTCAAGGCAGCTCCTTCCAAGCATGTGCCTGAGTCTGAGTCTGCATGCATTTTTATTTTACTTAAATTACTATTCAATTAATTATTCCTTTACTAAATTAAATCATTTTAATTACCTGTCCTAATAGGTACAGTCATATCACATAAAGTCCAAATCAGGACTTTTTTTTTGTATGTTTAGGGAAGGGTCTACAGGGTGTTCAGGGTCTCACTACTAGATCGGACTTGTAGTGATTCTCCTGTTTACAGCCTCCCAAGTGCTGGGATTACAGGTGCATGCCACCACACCCAGTCTCAATCACCCTCTCAGGGCATCGGGGGGGGGGGGGGGGGGCAGCACTCGAAAGCCCAGGGATTGAACTCCCGATCCCTGCGCCTGCTTACAGGTGCTTTAAACTGCTGAGCTATTTGGCTGCCCCCCCCTTTTTTTTTTTTAATCTTTTTATTTTATCTTTCTGAGACAGGATTTTTTGTTGTTGTTTTGTTTTGTTTTGTTTTGTTTGCTTGTTTGTTTTGTCGAAGGCCCTGGGGGCAGGGCTGGCTCAGCATATAGTGCCAGGAATTGAACAGCAGTCTCTGTGGTTGCCTAAGTTTGCCTAAGCAGGCACTTTAGTCCTCTGAGCTATCTCACTGGCTCTGGAGTCAGCTACACAGATCAGGTTGGCCTTGAACTCACTTTGTAGCCCAGGCTGACCTCAAACTCACTGCGATTCACCTGCCCCAGTCTCTCACGTGCTGGGATTACAGGCACACATCACCACATCCGGTACAAAATCAGGGCATTTTCAAGTATGAAATGAATATTTATTATACCAGGTCAAGGAACCTACCCCAGGAGTATACTAGATGAACTGGAACATAAAATCTTCTTGAACCAACTGGGCTTTTCAGCAGAATTATTTTGATAATTCAACAAATGAAAGTGCTTTAGTTGATATAACCAGCTTCTCTGGCAGATTTTGTTAGATGCTTTCAGATTTTTGCTGTTGCAATTAATGTCCTTGAACTTGTTAAACATTACATTGCTCAACCTCATGAAGACACTGTGACGTCCCCAGAGACACTTGACATTACCACCAGGTAGAAGGCAAGGACAGTGAGTAGCTCCACATAGAAGGAGCGTTATTTGGAGACCTGTTGCCAGTTGTTGCTCCAGTGTTGAGTCAAAGGACAGAGTCTGACCCAATGATTCTGCGAACTCAGGATGTCCAAATAGTTCCTTTGCTTGAAAGAATCCTGTGCCTGTTGTCCCACATAATTATGAATGGTGCCTACTTTTACTTTTGAAAGTGTCTCAGTAGATGATAAATAATGTCATCAGTGGCCAGAGGGAGAGCCTTTGGAGATGACAGAAAGTCATGACTGGGCCTGGAAGATAGCTCAGCAATCTAAGTGCCTGCCTGGCAAGTGCAAGGACCCAAGTTCGATCCCTGGTACTGCATGCTGTGCTGACCCAGCTCCAAGCTGGCCACCCAAACTGGGCATGTGCTGCACACCTATAATCCCAGTGCTGGAGAGGCTGAGACAGGAGGATCACTACAAGTCTGAGCTGTGTATCAAAACCTTGTGCCAAATAAATAAATAAAAGATTTTAAAAAATGAAACTTATGACCACTTAGATGCCTTTATCTGCTCTTCCTTCCCTTGCAGAAAGCAAGGAATGTGCAGGTGACAGTGAAACAGACAGGGAAGGAGGACTGGACACTCTCGGTGGACCCCTATAGCCCCATCTGGAAGATGAAGACAGAGATCAAAAGGAGAAATTCCATCATGGGGAAACAGCGTCTCTCCTTCCAAGAGGCAGGAGGAGAGAGGCTGCTGCTCAGCAGCCAGAAGACCCTGGCACACTACGGGATCTTCTCTAAGGTGAACATCCGGGTGTTAGAGACCTCCTCTACTGAGATACAGGTGTTTGTAAAGGATTCGAGTGGCCAAAGCAGGCCTTATGCCATAAATCCTGATGACACCATTCTTGACTTGAAAGAGATCATTGAAGAAGCTGGAGGGCCTCCTGTGGAGGATCAGATACTGAAGTTTGAGGGTCGGAGGCTGAGAGATCATAAGTGCCTTGAAGACCTGGAGATTGAAGATTGTGACACCATCACACTCATTAGAAGATGAATGGCCCTGACACTGCCTGTGATGCAGACTCCAATCATCCTGCTCCCCCACCCCACCGCTTTCTGCTTACTGTGCTCCTTCTGAAACCTGAATATGAACATACCCCTGCCCTGCTTAAAATCCTCCAATGTCTCCCCCCTTTCCTACAGACTGAAGTCCACGTTCCCTTCCCAGGCAGCCAAGATCCTTTGCTTCCTCCTCAATCGCTTCTCACCATTCAGAACACAACAGGTGTTCCCTGACGCTTGCAATTCCAGAACACTAACTTCTGCATCACAACTCAGTCACTTTAAGTCAGCTGTCCTCCCCTCCTGCCATGATTCCATCCTTCAATGCCCAGACTTCTAAATCACTGAATCTCAAATTATGAACCTCACACCAGCAGAATCAGCACTACTTGGAAACTTCTTAGAAAGGAAATTTCTCAGCTGCACTCCCACACTTAACCTGAGTCAGATTCTCAGATGGTCAGACTCAGCAGCCTGTGACCCACTAGCCCTTCCAAGTCATTCTAATGCATGCTCCGTTTGGGGACCACTGTTATATATTCTACACAAGTGACCAAATCATCTTTTTCCTGAGCCCTCACTATGTTCCTTCATTGAGCCATCTATTCCCTGGTCTAATAAGCCTTGAGTAAAACTATGTCTTACTCCTTGTCTTCCATGATCTACAATGGTACCTACCAAGATATCAATTCTTGGCACATAATTACTGAATAAAGGAATGAACCCCCAAAATGGCTCTGAGTCTTTCACTAGGGTCTCAGTCTAATGCAATTTTAGGGTTCATATTGTTTGGAGAAACTCCCAGGCTATGTCTCATTCTTTAGAAATGCCTACAGTACCTACATAGGTGCCATGTTGGACCTAGTCTCCCTGCTCATACCCAGTGCTGTCTTTCCTCTCTGCCTAAATCTAATTGGACCAAAGGGCATCAGAATAGAATCTTCCCAATGTATGGCTCTACTTAATCAATCTGGTTTTGGATCCTGAAGCATGGTGCCTGATGGAGACCATTACTAAGTGGCTCTAAGCAGGCTCTAATATTAACCAATTGGTCTTTCATGTTTATGTGTGAGTTTGCCCAAGGTTTATGCCCTCCTCTGGGTATGAGCAGTGGACTCATAGTAAGTGAACCTATGTGAGTCACTGGTCACTGTGAGGCCTGTATGGGCCTGTGAAGTCATGATACCTCAAAGAACAAGATAAGGCCACAGCTGAGGACATTTGGCCCCACCCCCAATTAACTAAAAGGAGATGGAAGCTGTAGACTCCACACTCCTACAATAAATGTCAACCTAAAGATAAGGTAGTTCTCCTGATTGACATAATTTACTACTTGGGGAGATATTTCCCAAAGTCTTGCTAGATTCCCATGTTTTCTTCAGTATCTTCCTCCTTTATTTGAAAACCAAATGAACACCAGCCACCCAGAGAAGCTCCTGGTCTTAGCACCAGAGTGAGAGGGTTGGAACCTCCTGGGGCCCTCAAATCATACCACTTGTCTCATTTATATAAGCCTTCACCCTCCACACACTTGGGAGATTTTGGGACTCCAAAATCAGGCCACAATAACTAGGAGATAGTACCAGGTACAGTGTGCTCCTGGGATAGGCTGAGCCTATAAACAGAACTGCAGACCAGACTGGAGGAGTCTGGATAGGCCAGACCAGAGTGTAGAGAGCCCATGCCGCGAATCGCGGCTTCAGAACCAAAACTCCTAGGGACCATTGGGTGAGGCCTGCTGCAGCCCTTGAAGCCTGCGCTAGATTACCCCTCCCACCGAGTGTGCCAAGATGGCGCTCATTTCCTGCTTCCGCAGTCGCTATACACCCGCCTATAATGATTTAAGATACCTTCCCTGAGATTGTAACCAATGGCGCTGTAACATGTATCAACCCTCGATTGGACAGTGTGAGGATATAAAAGAAACGCTCCGCGACGCGGAGGGTCAGAGACAGGAAGAGGGACGGAGAGAGGAACTGTGCTCTCTCGGGGCGCATCACTCAGGAGAAGGATTAAAGCCTTTCCGCCGCACAAATCGTGTTGAGTGCTTTCCTGCTGGACGGGAGGGCGCCCGACACCAGAGCACCACCCAAGCCCATCCTTTAATAAAGAGAAAGTGTTATCAGCACAAAGAAAGAAACCAAACCTGGAAGTCCTATGTTCCTAGGAAGAGAAGCTTCCAGATGTCAGATCTGACTTTTTCTCCAATTAGATTCCCCCTGAATCTTTTCCTCATTCGCAGTGGAACAAGCAGCCACTACTTGAGTAAATCAGACCAGGTGTATTTTCTACCCCAAAACCTTTCACTAACATTTGCTTCAGCAGCTAAGTAACATTCTTTGCTTTCCTCCATAGTATATTAATAATCCTATGCATTCATATGGCATCTGTGCCATATAGCTATCACAGTTGGCCTAGAAGTTGGATGAACCCTTCTCCATCTTACGGTTGAAAATACTAAGGTTTAGAGAATAAGGAAATGATGCTTGGAGGGCAACTTCTATGGGAGGAGAATTGTGGCAACTGAAGGGACTTTCTGGAGCTTTCATACATCATCTGGAAGGAGCGCCCTACTTTCTCACCATCTCTGCACTTCACTCAGCACCCTGCCAACCTTCTCAAGCCCTTCAAAAAATTTTGTTCCCAACAAGTGACTTCACCCTCTGCCAAACCTGATTAGACCAGGGTTGATCACCTGACCCAAAATAGACTTAATCTATTAGCTGGGCCATACCAATCAGATTATGAGTTCTGGGAACCAGGACTGGGGAGATAGCTCGGTGGTCTATGTCCCCACCTGGCAAGCGCAGGGACCTGAGTTCAATCCCCAGTACCATATGCCATGCTGTCCCCAGAACCCTGGGACATGCTGTGCTGGCTACTGAAATTGGGCATGATGGCACATGCTTGTAATCCTAGTGCTGGTGAGGCTAAGACAGGAGGATCACTATAAGTCCAAGCTATGTAACATGACCCTATACGAAATAAATAAATAATTTAGGTCTGGCCAAATAGCTCAGCGGATTAAAGTGCCTGGTTTGATCAGGGCCAGGGTTTCAATCCCTGGGCCTGCCGTGCCAGCCCCATCCCTGGGGTGTGCTGAGATGGCAATTGAGACTCAGCGTAGTGGCATGCACCTGTAATCCTAGCTCTTGGGAGGTTGTAAACAGGAGAATCACTACAAGTCCAATCTAGTAATGAGACCCTGAACACCCTGTAGACCCTTCCCTAAAATACAAAAAAAAAAATAAATAAATAAAAATAAATAAATTTAAAAAAAAAATAATATATATATATATATGAATGAATTCTGAGAACCATTATTTCTTGACCAATTTGTCCATATGCTAGGGATAACAGGGTAGTTGGCATTTGTTTCATCACATTTCTGGGTGCAGCTTTCTCCTGTGGTGCCCAAGATATGGCAAGAAGAAAGTGCATTAAAAGCAACAAGCCCAAGAGCTTTGCATGAACACAAGGAGATGAAGGATGATGGTGATCAGGGTTATTATATACTGAGGAATAAAGACCACCTTGCCTACTTTTTTTTTTTTTTTTTTTTTGTACTAGGGATTGAACTCAGGACCTTGCACTGGTCAGGCAGGTGTTTATGCCACGAGCTACATCTCCAGCCCTCCTACTTCTAAAAAGGACTTTTAGGAGACTGGGGGATGAGGGGTGGGAGAGAGACAGACTGGTAATCTAACCCATCAGCAGGAGCCCAGTGTCATGGGGTGGGGTGGGGCTGGAGGAACCCAGTGAGTTTGATCCAGCTCCAAGAAGAGATTCAGAAAAGAAAACCTGGCGGGGGGGGCGGGGGGAAGACCCACCTAGACCCTGGGGAGAGAAAGATGCGTCCGGGTAAGATGTGCTCCTGTCTCGGCCCTCCCAGGACCTCATGGGGTGCACTGGGGAAAGAGGCCAAAGTCAGCGTCACTTGGCTGATGGGAAGCCAATGGTCTACCCAGAAGGGTACGCCTTGCTGATGATCGTCACATCATCCACGGGGTGGTCCTGGGAGTTGGTCTCTGCCATCCCCATGCGGTTCACCATGCCGATGCCCTGGCACACTCAGCCAAAGATGGTGTGCTTGCCATCGAGCCACTGGGTGGGGGCGAGGGTCACGAAGAACTGGCCGCCGTTGGTGTCTGGCCCTGCGTTGGCCATTGTGAGGATTCCAGCCCTAGTGAACTTGAGGTCAGGGTGGAGCTCATCCTCGAACTGTTTGCCATAGATGGACGCGCCATCATGACCTGTCCCCGTGTCGGGTCACCTCCCTGGATCATGAAGTCCTTGATGATTCTGTGGAACTTGGTGCCACTGTAATAATCACACTGGGTCAACTCTGCGAAGTTCTTACAGGTCTTGGGCATGTGCTCCCAGTACAGCTCCAGCACAATGACTCCCATGCTGGTCTCCAAGAAAATGTTGGGCCGCTGCCAGGTATCGGGGGGAGTCACCACTATGACCGACCCTGCGGAACCCTTCTCTAGCGGCCTCACTTTGATGACCTGACCCTGTTCTTCCCATGCGCTCTGCACTGAGGTACGCCGATCAAAAGGATGCAACCCAGCCCTTCACACACATATTCCGGCCCACTTGCCAGGATCTAGTGTCAACTGCCCCAGAATCCTAAGCAAAGCATCTGCAGCCCGTCACCTCTGCAAACACCAAGTCTCTGCCATTGGTGCTTCCAGCAAATGTGAATGCTCTTGCTATATTTTCTCTCAAAACCAAAACATCAACACTGCTGCTCTGACACATAGACACCTCATGCAAAGCCACACTGAATTTTTGCCAAGTGAAAAATGCAGGAGCTGGTGAGATGGCTCAGTGGTCTAAAGCACCTACTTAGAACAAGCTCAGCAAAGCACATGGACCGCGGTTCAATCCCCCAGCACCACATGCCAGCCAGCCCGCCCCCTGGTGGGCTGAGCTGGCCACACACACACACACACGAACAAGCTCAGCAAAGCACATGGACCGCAGGTCCACCACATGCCAGCCAGCTCCGCCCCCTGGTGGGCTGAGCTGGCCACACACACACACACACACACACACACATAAATAAATAAATAAAATTTTTAAAAAAAAGAAAAATGCATCCAGCAATTTCTAAGACGGTGTCTAGGGAATGATAATGTGTGGTGATAGAGGATGGAACTTATCAGAGGGAAGCAGAAGCGCTGACTATTCCTTGCCTGGGGGACATAGAAACCTCCAGAACTCAGGGCAGATTGCTCCCTTCCTCAGAAGTAACCTTGCAAGGAGGGGCACTGAGCAGCTCTCCAATTAGGACTCTAGAGAAGTCACTTAAGAGAGTTTTATACTTTTTTGAAAAATCGTAATGGGGAGGGAGGAAGGGTGAGGAAAGGTGAGGAAGAAGTTCATTCCTTTGTAATGCAAAGTCATCAAAATGCCATCCCCTGATGGTTGAAATAAAATAAATAAATAGAAAACCCAGGGTTTCAAGGGGGAAGGACCTTGAACTACTGACCTTTCCATTTCTTCTATACCCCAGGCCAACTTCCTTTTCTTCCAGCCTAGGCCCCCCACCTTAATGGATGCTTGGTAATGCCCCATTGGTCAAAGCAGGCTGTGCAGCCATGCCCTGATTCGAGGCAAAGGGAAACTGACTCAGCTCTTGACGGAGCAAACTGCAAAGACCACACTGCACAGGAAGATGGGTGCAGAGATGGGAAGAATTTGAGAGCCTTTTATTCAGTCATTTCCTGTTGCTAGTAACACAGTACAGTACCACAAATAGGTGAAGTAAAGAGGTTTATTTGGGCTCTCAATTCTGGAGGTCCAAGGTTCAAGGGCTGCATCTGGGAATGACTTTGTTGTTGGCAGAGTCCCAAGATGGCTCAGGACATCATGTGACAAGAGACACAGAGTGCACATCTGTGCGTTTCTCCTGGCCTCTCTCCTTCTTGTAAAGCTACCAGTACTCAGTCATGAGGGTTCCTTGGATTGACCTCAATCCCCACATTCTCCCTTGAAATCATTTTTAGAACAAACCACGCTCATGTGAGCCTTTATCTCATTCTCTGTATTATAGGAGTCCACGTCAAGATGACAGCCATTTTCACTTCCTGAGTGAAGAGCCATATCCTCTTCCTGTCCAAGCCCAGCCCGCCACCTTCTTATCCAGTGGTTCTCTTTCCACACAGACCCATGCTCAACTGAGCAGCATGGTGACAAAGCACAAATGTGGCAACTGGAAAGATGGAATTGCCAACACTACTGACTCTAGTTTCCTTTTAAAATCTTCAAAACCTATCTGACATATTATGGGTTGAATGATTGAAAACTGTCTAACCTTCAGATTTCATGAAGGTGCATAAGAATCTATGAGGACTAAATGGCTCAGGTTGAGCAGTTCTTACATCACCTGAAAGTTAATCATCTGTAACCATAAACATATGGCCAGTGATGGTATCTTACACCCTTGTTGACACAGAATTGTGAAATTGCCATTACACTTAATACTGTCACTCTTTGCCTCTTGCTTCCTGAAATCTATCCTCACCACAGAAGCACCAAGCAAAGCTTTCTAGAGTTGAACTTCATCATTATGCCTCTCTTCTGATTTATCACTACCCTCAGAATAAAGTCAGAGCTGGTTCACTTGACCCACAACTCAATGAATTACTTCTTTCTTAAAATAATGTCATCACTTAGCTTCTGAAACCCCACTCCAGACTTGCCTCTACCCTACTAGCTACTCCTCCGTCTTCTTTGCTGGACCCTTAGAACTCTCCAAACTCTCCAAAATAATGTTAAATGCTTTAAGGCTCAGTCCTTCATCCTTTTCTTTGCTTGCTCATTCTTTATTTCTTCTTTCTTTTTTTTTTCTTTTTCTTTTTTTTTTCTTAAATAATTGTATTGAGAAACAAATAGCAATGAGACAGTTTCAAAACCAAGTAGTGGCACAGTTTCAATAATTCATAAATAGCATATGGTGGTCTTCTTACTGGTTATTCATAGTACAAGATGCACACATGATATCCTGTCCACAAACAATATTAGAACAAATTATTCTATCCATTGAATTAAGAGAAAGTAGCTGTATATCTATCCTATTTTGAATATACACATAAAAAATGAGGACTTCCTGTTTTTGTTTGTTTAGTTTTGCGTTTTACTTGAATGTTCTGTATTCATGAAAGGCAAGTTGCTTAACAAGTTACTCAATTTACTTCCGGGGAGTCTTCCCTGGTCACTCGCTTACGCTTATACGTCACTTCCGGTCTCTCTACTCCTTTTTTCCTATACTCATAAGTACTCTTTAATTAAGGAAGGCCTTTCTAATTCCTCTCCTTTTGGACCTACGTTAAGCTTCTCAAACCTAGCTTTCCTTCCACATCACACGCCAGCTTTTAGAGTTTTCTTATAAAACCTCTATTCTCCTCTGCAAATTCAGATTGAGCCTTTTTGTGTTTCCCGGTTTTATTTCTTCTTTCAATCTCAGGGCTTTCAATATCCCTGTGCTGGTCAGTGCCAAGTTTATGTCTCAAATCCATACCTCTTCCCCAGAATACGTACTCCTATAACCAACTCTCCACTCCGCATCACCTGGATCTCTAGCAGACATCTCACACCTCAGTTCCAAATGTCAGCTTTCCACTCATGTCCATGCTGTCCTCTTCCCCGGCCTTCCCCCTCCCACTGAGAGCAATCCCATCTTTCCAATTGCCAAATCCTTGGAACCCACCTTGAATCTGATCCTTCTCTGACATCACCACTCTACCACTAGTAAGATCTGTTAGCTTTATAGTCAAAATATATGTAGTGGAATGGTAAGTCTGCGATTTCCTTCCAAATAACACTGAAGAGAAGCTATGGATGGAGTATAATTAAAAAATCATCTATAACTTGATAATTGTTGGAGCTCAGGCAGGCCAGATGGAGGCTTTGGCTGCTGTCCCAGAACAGCCCTGCTGTGGAGCAGAGGCGCTGAGGAAACAGAGCCCAGCTGAGCTACAGGGAAAATAGCACAAGGGAAGCAAAACACAGGGGAGCAGAAATGAGAAACGGTGTCTTGCCCAAGTTTTGGGTCAATCAGCCTGGCCAGGCTAAGAAACTTAGCATCATAAACCCTAAAACAAAAGCACTATACCAATACCTTGTATAGAAAGCAAGACACGGACAATTAAATAGGAAAGTGTCAGAGTAAAATTTAACTGAAATCCTTGAAGAAAAAGGTAAGTAAGCAAACAGAAAAGAATACATCAGGTAATTCAACAGAAGAAAAATAACAGATTCTGATGAAAATGACCATTATTGAGCCAAAAAAAAAAAAAAAAAAATGTTTAGAGACAAATTTAATGGAACCCTTCCAGGGCAGAAGTTAAAACTTGTTTAAATGTTTACTTTGCTTGGTCAATATGCTTTGTAAAAATAAACTCATTAAGCAAAATTGAAAAAAATAATAAATATTGGAGCTAACTGATGGTTCATGGAGATGCATTACAGGATTCCAGATCTGTTTACATTGAAAATACTCCCCTCTGCCTGCTGTCACTGTCACCACTCTATTCAGGAAGCTGTAGCTCTGGCCTGGTACCCTAGTTTCTCTCTCATCTGCACTCCCATCCCCTGCCTTTAGACTAGCTCCCCACCTCCAGCCACACAGCCTGTGCAATTGCTCCTTTTGCAATCAGTCCAGCCATGTCCCTCCTCTGCTCAAAATGCGCCAAAGTCCCCATTTCATTTGGAATAAAGCCAGAATCTTAAGAGTCATTTTCAAGATACCATTTACCTCCCCGCCCCATACTCCTCAGCCCCAATCACCTTTCCTCCTTGATCATTTTCTTTCAGGCATGGTGATGTTCCTTGCACACGCCAACCACAGCCCCGCCGAAGAGCCTCTTCTCTCTCACACGTGCGTTTCTGTCTTCACTCCCTTCGTGTCTTCACTCCAACATCTCCTTTCTGAGTAAGCCATTACTCGCACAAGAACCTCATCAACACATGAAAATGAGCACCTTCCTGAACAGCCAATGGGTCCAAATGAACCTAAAGAAGAAATCAGGCAGTTTCTGTAACTAAACAATAATGCCAATTCAACATACCAGAATTTATGGGACACGGTGAAAGCAGTCCTTCAAGGGAAATCTATAGCACTCAATTCCCATATCAGAAAAAGAGGGAGCTCAAATAAACAACTTAATGCTGAACTTCAAACTTCTAGAAAAAGAGAAGCATGTCAAGCTCTAGTAAGCCTTTTCCGACCACCTTATACTGTAGCACTGAATGCATAAACACTACATTTACACACACACACACACACACACACACACACACACAGAACCTCTTCGCCTCTTCCGTTACCTAACCTTTTGATTTACTGTAATCTTACCATCAGATGTACGCTGATGTCTATTCTCAGCACCCACCTGGCATACAGCAGTTGCTCAGTATTTATTTATTTATTATTATTTATTTATTTATTTAGGTGAAATCGGGGATTGAACTCAGACCCTTGCACTTGCCAGGCAAGCACTTATTCCACTGAGCTATCTCCCCGGCCCCTTGCCCAGTATTTATTGAATGAAGAAATGCCTGAGTGAAAGAGCGAAAGAATGAAGAGCACCCACAGTGCACTGCGCACCTTCCTGTGGAGGTAGGGCTCTCACCTCTGGCCTCCTTGCCCTGGTGCTGAACACAGGCAACACCTGAATCCCTGACGCACGGGAGCGCAGTTGCCAGCCTTTACCCATGCTCAGCCCTCTTCCTCCTGGCAGGATCTTCGTCTTTAAGATTCATGTCCCTCAGGTGTCTGCTGACGCCACCTGTCAAAGAACTTCTTCTGCCTGGCTTCCCCCCCAGGTCTCTGTGGCCTTTTTCTGACCAAGCGTCCCTCATGCTGGACTCTGGGCATCTACCCATTGCTTCGGGTGCCCTTCTGGGTAGGAATGTGGGAGCAAGTTCTCTGGCATCCAGCAGTCCCTCAAGAATGTGTAGTGAGGGAAAGGGAGATGGCTCAGTAGAATAAGCGCTTGCCTGGCAAGTGCAAGGGCCTGAGTTCAATGCCTGGTTCTGAAAAAAAAAAAAAAAGAATGTATAGTGAATGAATAAAAATGGTGGCATGGACCGAATAGCTTCTCTGTTCAGGTTTTCATACTTCATCAGCACAACTTCATGGGGTGGGGATTATCATCAAAGTGGCTGGAGAAAACAAATTGTGTCCCACCCACTGGGGAGGTCTCCCTCCCAACTCACCGTGAGCAAGTGCTTTCTCTTTCCCTGCCTCTGTTTCCTCAGTTGGACTGACTACTCCAATACACTGGGCGAGGTGCTTCTTCTAACGTTGGACTCCAGCCAATTTCAGTTTCCAAATGTGGAAAGAAGGAAACTGGCAAAGTTGAGAATCGAAACCAAAAGCAGAAAGGTTGGCTGGATGCCATCCCTGTTAAGGTAGTCCCGGATCTGCCAACTTCAGCCAGGTGTCCTGCAGCACACCTGTCACAGCAGGGATCTCCAAGGGGTCTCCAAGGAGCCACACTCAGCTCATTCACCGCTGGATTCCTCTTCATTCAGGTCCTTTATCCGTCAGAGTACTGCAGTTCAGCTGGAGAGGAGCTTCCTTAAAAAAGAGGGTGTGTGTCAGGAGGCAGTAAGTTACTGGCCATATATCTGTCCAGCAGTGGGACTCTCAGCAGAGATGGCCCTGGCCCAGGAGCTCTACGACACCGCAGCCTCCAGGCTGGATTCCTTCGTGGCTCAATGGCTGCAGCCCACCCGGAAATGGAAAGAAGAGGTGCTGGAGGTTGTTCGCACCGTGGAGCAGTTCCTGAGGCAGGAGTTCTTCTGCTGGGAGCAAGGGCTGGACCAGGAGGTGCGAGTGCTGAAAGTTGTCAAGGTGAGACCAGGCCGCTCCCTTCCCAAGCCGGAGCAGATCAAAACTCAGTGTGAGCGTCCACGTCCCCAAGGGTGCTGGGGTCCCCTAGCCCATGCTGCTGACATCTCAAGATATTTTTCTACAGCTTATGCACCACTGCACTGCTTGTTAGCTGTTTACACCCCATTGCACTACCTCTAGCAGAACACACCAGTTAAGAAATTTATAATAATATAGTGGGGGTATAATTGTCTAATTCCTTAATATTGTTATCTCTAATCCTAGCACCCTTTGAGGTAGACAGGATTCTTTTTCCATTTTACAGACAAGCAAAATGAAGGCTCGCAGACTTAAGATTCACGGGGACCAAATACAAGTTCTTTGATTAGATCCTGATGTGAATAATAGAGAAATTTCAATATGGCCTGGATACTAGATAACACAAGGGATTTAATTGTAACAGTGCCTTCATGGATAGAGAGAAAATGTTCTCATTTTTTGAGGAAACATAAATGGTAAAATATTTAGGGGCAAAGTTCCATGCTATCTGTAATTTACTTTCAAGGGCCACAGTTCTGTGCTGTCTATGATGTACTTTAGAATGGCTTAGATGAGCCACATGTGGCAAAGACGTTAGCCATGTTGAATCCAGCCGGGTGGTTTGATATGAGCGTTCCTTGTATTTTGTTTCTATCTTCTATATGTTTTAAATTTCTCTTAATAGTGGAGGCTCAGAGTGACACAGGGGAAAGAAACTCCCAACCTTCTAAACGTCTGGTAGAAGTTTGTGTTCTCTAAAATGGAAGCATGAGTTTTAAGGACAAGAGAGGTTAAAAGCAGAATATATTTACTGAGGGAAAGAAAGCTTCTGTCCGAGTGGGTTGCCCAGGAGCCTGCCTTTTGTATGGATATTTATAGAGCAAATCCACAATGTGAGACAGCTCCAAGGTGGGACACATGGGAACTCCCTTAGGTGGGCATGAGGTGAGACAAAGGTATGGTCAGCCAATGAGATTACAAGCATAATTGCGCAGGTAAAATTGACTAAGTCAGGATTGAATGGGGAAGCGAGTCACATAGCAAGTGGGCATGAATGCGGAAGAGGGGCTTTTCCTGTAGGGGGTTGAATCAGTGGTTCTTCCTGGTTTTCTCAAGGCGATTGATACCTCTTTAGAATATTAGTCCCTGAAGTTTATCCTTAGGAAGTATGTGAGTATATTTGTTTTATCTTTTATCTTGAGATCTGGTCCACAGTGGTGGTGCCTGTCTCTCCCACAGTTGTAACGTACCTCATCTTCTGCACTGGCTCCTCTGAGGGCCTAGCCCTCCCTGACTGCCTGTAATAGTTTCTCTAAGCTGCCAGGAAGGAAGAGGCGGCTTGTCCAAGGTCACGTAGTCAGAGCTGGTGCTGGGATTTGAATTTGACTCCATAGCCAGGGATCTAGGCTCCTCCATGAAGATTTTCCCCAAGCTCTTCGTCCAGTTGACTTACGCCTGTGCACACCTGCAATCCCAGCACTCCGGGAGGCTGAGGCAGATGATCACAAGTTCAAACCTAACATGAGCAACTTGGCTAGTTCTCAAGACGTTGTCTCTAGAGAAAAAATGAAAAGGGCTGAGGATGTAGCTCAACTGCAAAGGTTTTGGGTTCAACTCCCAATAATGAAATAACAATTTTTTTCCCCAAGAGGTTCAGAGCTCAAAAGGCCCTGAAGAATCAGGAAATCATCCTTCCTTTTCATTTAAATATTAAGGAAACTGACACACACGGTAGACGAGAGATATCCCACCATCACACAGCAAGTTGACGGCAAAGCAAGACTAGAATTAGGACAGCAGACCCCCCACTCAGGGCTCTATGGACAGCCAAGTCCTGGAAGGATTCAACAACCTTCCCCAGGCAGCATCTGGAGCCTGAGGCCCAATGATTTAGAGTAGACAACCATAAATTTTGACATCAGCTAGATCTGGGTTTGACTCAGCTTTTTTGTGACCTTGACTATTCCATCTTATTTCTCAAACCCTGTGTTTGGAGCATCATAATCATCCTCCTTTCTCCTTCCCCAAACCAGAGCAATGCAAGCTAAATGATCAACAGCGCAGGGTAAAAGCCCCCAAACAGAAAATTATTGTCATTATTGCCCAAGACTTCTTCTGGGCCTGGGGAACTTGGACGGTCTCTCTCTCTCTCTCTCTCTCTCTCTCTCTCTCTCTCTCTCTCTCTCTCCTCCCTCCCCTCCCCTCCCCTCCCCACCTCAGCTTCCTAGAATTCTGGGAGTACAGTGTGTGCCACAACGCCTGACTTGACTCAGTATTCTTATCTGCTCATTAGACTCATGCTACCAAATCAATGAGAGATTGTGAAGATTTAGAATACTATGTAAAAGGGCTGCTCACAGTGCCAGGCAGAGGGAGTGGTCAGCCTGTGACAGCTGGGCTATCGCTCATGCTCAGTGGCTCCACCCACCAAGAAAGGCAGCCCACTTGGGGTTTGATCCTTCCCCTGAGAATTCCACTTCCTGAAGCAGAGTGAGGAAAAGGGGAGACAGAGAGGTACGGAGCTCTGTACACCAGAGGCAGTGGGGCTAGGAGAGGGCGTCTAGAATCACAGAATAGCCAAAGCACTTGTTCAGAACCATGTAGCTCAATCTCCCTCCATTACAAATGGGGAAACTGTCGCCCTGGCCGCAGAAGGGATTGTGTGAGTCAATTAGACAAACAGGAAGGAGGGAAACAGATCGCTGACTTTCTGTGTGCATGCAGCATTTTATCTAATCCTCTCTGTACCCAGTGACTCAACTTTCATCATTACTTTCATCTGCAGAAGGTCTGAGGGCTTCAAATGGTCATTCAGCTAAAGAACAGGGCAGAGTGAAGATGGGGCTGGGGTGTAGCACAGTGGTCAAGCACTTGTTCTGGTTCCGGTCTCCAGCAACACACAAACAGACACTCACACATGCGCACCCACACACACAACACACCCCTGCCTCAAAACCTCAAATGCAGTGCAATAGGCATTATTACAGCTTGAGTAGGCCTCATCTGAAACGCCTGAGGCCAGCAGTGCCTCCGATTGGGGATTCCCTTCAGATTTTGAAATATTTGCATATACACAATGAGATAGCTTAGAGATGGATCCAAGCTTACACATAAGCCACTTGCAATTCATAAGCACCTTCTTTGTGTAGCAAAAAGGCAATTTTATACACTATTCTTAGTGTATCAGTGTCATGACTACAAGTCATCACAGGAGGCCAGGTGTGGAATTTTCAACTTGCTGTGTGTGTGTGTGTGTGTGTGTGTGTGTGTATGTGTGTGTGTGTGTGTGTGTGTGTGTGTGTGTGTGTGTGTGTTTTCCTGGGGCTTGAACTCAAGGCCTTAGCACCAAGTCATATCCCCAGCCCTTTTGGAAATTTTAAGACAAACTCTTGCTAAGTCACTCAGTTGCCCAGGCTGCGCTCAGACGTTGGATCCTCTGCCTCAGCCTCCCAGAGTGCTCTTCTTAGGCCGTCCCATCAACACTCAGAAAGATTCGGATTAGGGAGTAGTTTGGATTGCGGCTTTTTATTGAGGGATGCAGAAAGCATATTCTTGAAGTCACCATCTCTCTGCAGAACACAAAGCTGAGTTTTGGAAGTCATGCAGTACAGTAAGCAAGAAACCTAGGCTCTGGTGTCAAGCTGAAAACTGGTGGCCACAGGCGAGTGACCTAGGGGCAAGGATTTGCATTAAACGGGATGTGTCACGTGATGTGTGTATGGGGGGGTTCCTGGTGCACAGCAGAGGGGCCTTCAGCTGATGAGCCTCTGTCTCTTGCAGGTGGGCTCCTTCGCGAATGGTACAGTAATCAGAGGCACCGCGCATGTGGAGCTGGTGGTGTTCCTGAGCTGTTTCCGTAGCTTCCAAGAAGAGGCCAAGCACCACCAAGCTGTCCTGAGACTGCTAAGGAAAAAAGCATGCTGTTGCCAGGACCTGCTGGCCCTCGGGCTAAGTGACCTGAGTGTGGCCCAAGGAGTCCCTGACACTCTCATCTTCACCATCGAGACCAGAGAGACTGCAGAGCCTATTGATGTCACCATTGTGCCTGCCTACAGGGCCCTGGGTAAGGGGAACAAAAGCCTGCAGCACACACCTGCCCTTCCCAGGAGTCTTGCCACTCCCTCACTTCTCATTCCTGACCACAGAGTCCTGCATTCATTGGTCCTATACACTTCCTGCCCTGGGAACTGAGCCTTCACTGTGTGCCCAGTATTAGTCCTGGCTCTCATGGGGGGAAATCTGGGAAACAGAAACTTACCAGGAAACCACACAGATAAGCATATGGTAAGCTGAGTGAGTACTCCATGCCTATAACTCTGCCTATTGAGAAGGCTGAGGCAGGAGGATCAAAAGGTCAAGGCCAGTCTGAGCAACTTAGTGAAAGCCCATTTCAAAATAAAAGAGCTAAGGGTGTAACTCGATGATAGAATGCTTGCCTAGCTTGCATAAGACCCTGGGCTCAATCCCCAGTATAAAAGAAGAGAGGAAAGGAAGGAGGGAGTGAGAGAGGGAGAAAGACAATGGCAGCTCTGCCAGAAAAAACAAAAATGGAGCACCCTGGGTAAGTGCAGAAAGCATGCTCAGGAGTGGACTTTCTATGCCAAGGATAGTCTGGGGGACCCCAGGTCCAAAGAGAGAAAGGAGCTAAAATAATAACTATGAGTGCTTCTTACTCAGGCACCAGGGTCTGTCATCGTCTGGGCATTCCCAGAAGCAGATCCTCTGATAAGGATATGAGGACAAGCAGCTTATGGGGAGATGACCCAACCCTGGGAGAGAGGCAGGGAACCAAGACACGATACCAAGGGCATTACTGAGCAGGGCATCACTACAGGCCCCTGGGCCACATGCCCCTGCAGAACACAGAGCACATGTCAACAACATCTCAAGGGAGTGCTGAGTGCTCACCCTAGATTTCTTATCAATCCTTAGCTGCTGGCTGCTGCCTGGAGCACTGAAGCCCTGGCACCTTTTATTTGCCCTCAAGCCAACAGTCCCAGATGTTTGAAATAAATCTTGTCTGCAATAACCCCGGATGAGACAGGCTTTCTATAGTCCGCTATCAGTCACTGTGATAAAATATCTAAGATAAGGGGCTGGGGAGATAGCTCAGCAGTCTAAACGCCTGCCTGGCAAGCACAAAGACCCAGGTTCAATCCCAAGTATGCATGCTGTGCAGGCCTTGGAACTCTGGGTGTGCCCTGCAGGCCACAAAGACCGAGTGTGATGGTGCATGCCTGGAATCCCAGTGCTGGGGAGGCTGAGATAGGAGGATCATTATGAGTCCAAGCTGCATAGTGAGACCCTATATCAAATAAATAAATAAATAAAATATTTCTTAAAAATTAAAAAGTATAGTGAGCCGGGGAGATGGCTCAGTGGAATAAGTGCTTCTCTGGCAAGCACAAGGGCCTGAGTTCAATCCCCGGTTCCGAAAAAAAAAAAAAAAAATTAAAACGTATATCTAAGATAAGCAATTTAGAAGGAGGATGTGTTTAATTTGACCTACAGTTTCAGTCCACAGTCACCTGGCCATCTCGCTTTGGGCCTGTGGTGGTGCCGTAGCTCATGGCAGGACCACATGTCTGTTCACATCATAGTGTCAGGGAAAGACAGAGAGTGAGAGAGGCAGAGAAAGAAAGACAGACAGGGAGGTGTCTGTGCACCCCTGTAGGGTTAATCCTGAAGACCCAGCTTCCTCCCCTAAGCCACTCCTCTTAGAGACCCCACCACTTCTCAGTGGCACTATGGCTGAAGACCAAAGCTTCACCACATGGGCCTTGAGGGATGTTCACGAGCCAGATCATAACAACTCGTCTCACCTTCCAGCTCCCATTCATGGTTATGGCTGCCAGGAGTTGTTCTATGGAGAAAGCGCCGGAGACAGGATCCAACCTTAGCAAGAAAAAAGAGTAACACATGCCAGGGAGTTGGTTCTGCCTTCAGCTGCTACTTACCTCCTGGAGCTTCTGTAATGAATCATCCAGAAACAGATCTAAAATAGTTATTAAGGAAAACTAGGAGTATTGGCATCTTAGTCACTTTCTTGTCAGTGAGACATGATATCCACCACTCACAGTTTAGAGGAGAGGTTTATTTTGGCTCAAGTTTGTAGAAGATTTATTCAATAGTCGGCCATTACCAAGGCAGGAAGAACATAGTAGAAAAATCTGATAGAGGGATGAGGCTCAGAGCACTGCACCCAAGAATCAGAGAGCATAGAAAAGAGCCACGGAAGGAGATGCACCCTTCCAGGTCATATGCCCACTGACTGGCCTGTACCTAGGCTTCACCTCCCAACAACAGTCTAGTAATGGCCTGGTAAGTACAGTGCCCCCACAATCCAATCACTTTCCTAACACATGAGACTTTTGGAGGACACCCAGATCTAAACCATAGCAGCCAGGGACATTCAGGGAGGACAGAAGCCCTGGGAGGCCCAAGATATGGAAAGGCCAATGTTGGCTCCTCAAAGGAAGGTGATCAAGGAAAATCAAGCAAGGCAAAGCTCTGGTGTCTGAGGCTCTGAGGTCACAAGTCTCTTCTGAGAGGCATCTCCAGCGGATAAACAGGCTGACCCCAGCCACTGCTTATCCCTCTAGGGCTTCCTAAATCCTCAGTCTCTGTTTTTATTCCCTCTTTCCTCAGGACCTTCTGTTCCCAACTCTGAGATACCCCCAGAGGTCTACGTGAGTCTGATCAAAGCCTGTGGATACCCTGGAAATTTCTCCCCATCCTTCAGCGAGCTGCAGAGAAACTTTGTAAAACATCGGCCCACTAAGCTGAAGAGCCTGCTCCGGCTGGTAAACTACTGGTACCTGCAGGTAAGGGGAGCTGGCAGGATGGGGACAGGGGTAGAGAGGAAAGGCGCCACCCCAGGAAATGGGACGCCATCCCCTGGAAACTACACCAAGAGGAAGGGGAAGTGGGGAAAGGAGGGCAAGCTTGCTAGACATTTAAAACTGTAAAGTGAAACATTCAGTGAAAAAAATGGACAAGGAAAAAGAGAAGGGAGAAGAGAAACAGAACAGGAAAGGAAAAAATAGCTGTTGTACAGTGTTCCAGTAGTCAAGTGCCCGAGAGGCTGTCGTTCCTGTGTAGTATTCGCTAGTGGTAGCTTTGGTGCACACTCTGGGCCTTAATCCCAGGCGGGTAAGGGCCAGCAAGAACGATCCCTTTATTCCTGCGCACACAGCCACCCCGAGTGACCATGTTCCTGAGTGTCATGATCACCACTGCATGAAGGGGAGAAGAGTAACTACTTTATAGCTCTCACAAGTGACATCTGCCCGGAACCAAGTAGATTTTTAAAATAGCCGGATGAATAGAGTCATCTAAACTCACAAAAGGAAGACTCAGAAACAAATGCAAAAATTAGAAAGACGCACATGCTGCACCAGCCCCGGCCCTGGGTGCGCTGAGCCAGCAACCAAGTCTAGGAGAGGTGGCGCACACCTGTAATTCCAGCACTGGCGGGACTGAAAACAGGAGGATCACTCTTAGTCCGGGCTGCAGAGTGAGACCCTGTACCAAATACATAAATTTAAATTTAAAAAAAAAATTACAAGACAAAGGTGTTCTCTTTTTTTAAAAAAAAATGGTGAAAGATTTTAGGAAGACTAACTCAATTTTAAAAGTAAATCAAGGGCTGGGGAGGTACCTCAGCCACCTAAGCACCTGCCTGGCAAGCACAAGGACCTAGGTTCGATCCCCTGCACCACATGCTGTGCCTGCCCTCGGTTCCCAGGTGTGCAGTGCCAGTCACCGAAACCTGGGCATGGTGGCGCATGCCTGTAATCCCAGCACTGGGGAGGCTGAGACAGGAGGATCACTGTGAGTCTCAATTGTGAAACAAGACCCTGTACCAAATAAATAAATACATAAAAGATTTTTTAAAAAAGATTAAAAAAATAAAAATGAAGCAAGCTGGGTGTGATAGCGTACACCTGTAATCCCAGAACTCAGGAGCTGAGGCAGGAGGATAACTGTGAATTTGAAGCCAACTGAGCTACAAAGTGAGTTCAAAGCCAGCCTGGGGTACCTACTGAAACCCTGTCTCAAAAAATAAAAATAAATAAATAAAATAAAAACCAAAGTAAAAAGATTCTAAAAAAAAAAAAAAAAAAAATTACCAAGGTTAGTACACGTACAATGAATAGTCTGTCCGTGGTGAGATGACAGAAGTCACATCAAACACTGCAGGTGACAAGGTTTCAGATACTAGCTTTCCCAAAGTTAAGGATGAGTTAGTTACCTTTGAGGGAAGGAGTATGTATGCATACCAGCTTTCTTCTATAATCTTTTCTTCAAGTCTTTGGCCCTAAGACAAGGATTTGACATGTTTTTAAACTTTTTTTCTTTCTTATTTTTTGGCTGGCTCAGCCCACTCTGAGGGTGGGGCTGGTGCAGCATGTGGTGCCCGGGATGGAACCACAGTCACCTGCGCCTGCCTAAGCTGGCCTAAGCAGGTGCTTTAGGCCGCTGAGCTCTCTCACTGGCCCCTTAAACTATTTTTGGTACGAGATCTTAAACTTAACCATTTCTTTTAGTTGACTTTTTTTCATGCTAGGGATTGAGCCCAGATGCCTCGTGAATGCCACACAAGCACCCTATCACTGTTACAAGCCAGCCTTTTTTTCACTTTAGTTCAAGAGAGGGTCCAGATGGCTCAGGTTGGCCTCAAAACTGGAATCCTTCTGCCTCTGCCTCTGCCTCCCAAGTGTCTTGGATTACTAGCATGCTCCACCATTTATTTGACAGCTTTATTTACCCAAGTATTATAAGATATTGATTAATTGAAAGGACATAAGATCTCATACTGTATGAAGTATGATTAAAATATATGGAGAGGCCAGGGAGATAGCTCAGCAGCACAAACGCCTGCCTGGCAAGAACAAGGTCCTGAGTTCGATCCCTGGTACCAAAACACACACACACACACACACACACACACACACACACAAACACACACACACACACACAAATAAATATATAAAAATAAAAATAAAATATATGGAGAATGTTAAAATTTTTTAAATGTATAACAGTGTAAGACACATTGCCATTAATCCCCCTCAAAAATATCCCCCTTCATTCAAACATACCTAGGTCATCATTTCCAACATGGTTTTCTGAAGCAGTTCCAGAAGTCTTTTTCCCTGAGTGTCTTTAGTCGCGCTATTGTGGCTGCCTTTGTTTCCTCAACTGATTCAATACATTGCCTTTCATGCTGCTTATTTTGACTTTGGGCAAAAGCCAGAAGTCACCTGGCACCAGATCTGGTGAACTATGGTAGATAAAGCCACACCAAAATGTTTTTATGAGTTTGCCTTTCCATTGGGTGGCATTTGGTAGCGGCATTCACGGTATTTTAACCTGTTAAGGACAAGAAAAAGGGCTTCCAGAAACTCTTCCAGAAAGAGGACAACAGGTGGGTTTCCAAGAGTGGGCCTTACAGTCAATGTGAGAGGTTGGCTTTTTTTTTTTTTTTTTTTTTTTATGTATTTAGTACAGGGTCTACAGGGTCTCACTACATAGATTGGACTCGTAGTGATCCTCCCGTTTTCAGCCTCCCAAGCGCTGGGATTACAGGCGCGCACCACCTCGCCCAGTCTCAGTCACTGTCTCAGCACGTCCCCAGGGCAGAGCCAGCACAGCAAGCCAGCTATCAAACCCTGGCCGCTGTGCTGTGCCTAAGCAGGCGCTTTAGTCTGCTGAGCTATCTGGCCGGCCCTTGGGCTTTTTATAAGGGATTGGAGACATGGAACAGGGTTTGCTAGTAGTTGTAACTAGCTCACACATACATTTCTGGGGTCACCTTATTTCTCGTTATGCTCCCAGAAGCCACTCCACTGTATCTAAAGTTGTATACCAAAACTGCAAATTGGCAAAGTCATTGAATTCAGCCTTACAGAAAAACCCCTGACCACTGGGAGAAAGATTTATTTTAATCTCATGCTGTCCGGGGTCAGGCTCAGTGTGCTGTCTTATGACTGCTTAGTATGCAAGCAGTGGAATTGCTTTCACAGGGTATGTCTGCTGCTGAGGGGTTTAACCTGTTTGTTGTCAACAGATCATCAATCCCTGAAATATGAAGGATAAAATTAGCATTATATGAGACTAAAAAATTAATCATTTTTTGTCAAATGCTTGATGCTGTAATTAGTGGGGTTTTTGTTTTTGGGGGGGTTGTTTTTGTTTGTTTCTTTTGGTACAGGGTCTCTACGTGGCTCAGACTGTCCTAGACCCTCCTCTCTCGGCCTCCCCAGCACTAGGATTACAGGTGTCCACCACCACACCTGGCTTGAGGGCCTGCACGGTGTGCGCAGGGTTCTGGGGCTGGCATAACGTGCTACACCAGGGATCGAGCCCCAGTTTTTGTACTTGCCAGGCAGGCACTTAGACCGCTGAGCTAGCTCCCCAGCCCTTATAGTTTACTTAATAGTTTTAAGTATACTGATTGTTTCATCTACTGGATTCCAAGACCAAAACATGCAGTTCACATCCACTAGGTTTCATCTGTCATATCTTTTATTTTATAATCCTGAAGATCAAATTCAGGTGTGCTTTATGTCTGAGCAATATCCCCCAGCCCTTTTTATTTATT